GGTCCTCCCTACTTCGCCCTCCGACGGTCACTCCTCCCCCCTCCCCCCCCCTCCCCCCCCCCTCTCTCCCGCCATGGACATGTCAGCATGGTGGCTGGCAGTCGGGGTGGCTGCTGGCCTGACCTGCTTAGTAGCTGTCGGCTATGCTATTGTTGCCTCGCTTCGGCCACGCCATGCTCGCCTCGCCCGTCACACGACGACGACGACGACGACCACCACCACTGGCACTACGTCTACTGCCTGTGTCTCGCCCCCGGGTCTGCCTCTACTGCCGCATGCACTACGTGGTGCGCTGCCTCTCCCAGTCCTGCCGCCATCAGCAGAGCCACAGGTGGCTCCTGCCATCGCTCACGCTCGCCTCGCCCGCTCGACTGTTGCCTATGACTCACGTTACACAGACGACATTGTGCCGGCACTCATACTGCCGCCGCTGCGTGATTCCCACGTCCGCCGCCTCGTGGATTTGCTTACGCCGCAGCCACTGCAGCGCCCGCGCTCCTCTGTTCCATCATCAGCACCTCGCTCCTCTCCTCCCTCCTCCTCCTCCTCCTCCTCCGACTCATCGTCGCACCCAGAGTCTGGCTCGTCCGAGTCGGAGCCTGGATCGGTGCCCGGCGCGCACCGTGGCACCTCCGTGCTGCGCTCCGAGAGTAGACAAGGCTCGCGTGGGATAGGAGACTCGTCGGGCTCGACAACCTCACACGAGAGCTCGTGCGCTTCGTCGATCTCAGGCCACGAGCGAGCGTCGTCTCTGCAGCCGCAGCGGAGCCCCGACATTGTCGACGACGAGGCCGCTGCTGTGCTTTCGGCCATGCGCGCGGCCCGGAGCAAGTCGGCTTCGCTGGCCTCGCTCAACGGCGCCAAGGACCGCCCCAGTATCGGTGTGCCCGCCGCACCACAGAAGCACGTCCAGGAGGCTCGCGCAGCGCTGTCCGCGGCGCGTACCACGCTCGGCGTCATCGCCAACCCACAGGCTACCGGCGTTGTCCTCACCCGCGTCAACTCTTGCTCGGCCGCACACCGCGCCGGCCTTCGCAAGGGCGACGTTATCAAGTACGTCGACATCTTCCCGCGCGACGACGAGGACGCAGTCCTCGACCGCATCATTTCGCACGACCCGCTCGAGCTCCTCAACTCGTCCATCCATATCGGGCCGGAGCCCGAGTCAGTCTCAATTGCCGTCCGCTCGCACTCAGACTTGCGCAACCTTCTCGACATCACCTTCCCAGGCGAGCACCAGCGGTTCCACATCATTCGCTACGCCGAGGACGTGGTCGTTGACGTTGTCTTTGGCGCCAAGGGTATGACTATGCAAAAGGTGGCCGACTACCGCTCTGCCGCCGGTGACCGCTGGGTTCATGCCATGGAGGCCAAGAAGAAGCCCGTCGACTACGCCACGCTCTTCACACGCGCCGCATACACAGCAGAGCGCGAGGAGATGCACACATCGTCGTCTGACTCACGCGAGCTCATTCGCTCGCTCTCGGGCTCCATTCAGCCACTCGCCACTGACTCGCTCGCCAGGAACTCTGCCGCCGCGGACGTCGCCCAGCATGCGCTCGGCGGCGAGCTCTTTGCCGAGGCCCGCTCTCTCGGCGAGCTTTCCCACTCGATTGCCGCCTCGATGCTCACCGACGCCTCACTCACTTGCCTCCTCGACGAGCTCCTTGTCCGCGATCTCAACTCGCTCGGCTTCAAGCCTTACGTCTCTCGGCTGTCAGCCCGTGGTGCCGAGCGGCGTGCTCGCTTCATCATCGGCGGCATCCCAGTCCACCTCCGGGTCTCGCCTACCCGTCACCGCATGCTCGATGTCGCCGAAATTGACGCCCAGATCTCGACCGGCCGCGCCGCCTCGCCCACCCGTCCGCCCTCAGTCCTCGAGACCCGCACCGCCTTCCGCGCCCCCTCCGGCGTCCACACCTCGGGCCTTGACGACACGCTACCCTGGAAGACGTGGGCAGATTTTGTTGCCGACCACATGGCCGAGTTTATCACCGACTCAACCCTCTGCACAGGCTGCGGCCGCGTCTTCCCGCCAAACTCAGAGGTGCTCATGGTGTGCGGCCTCCCGTACCATGTGCCATGCGCCCGCTGTCTCGAGTGCCAGCGCCCGCTGCAGGAGACCGGCGTCGTCCCGCCGCCACCGTTCCCGGCGGCCCACCCAGATGCCGCTGGCGACGAGGTCGTCCGTCCCGACCCGGGAGCCCTTTTTGCACCTGCCGTCCGCTCGCGCCTCGCCACCACCGCTCCATCGCGCGCTCATGCTCACGGTCGGTCTGTCGGCCTCTACTGCCCCTCGGACTGGTTCTTCAAGTTTGGCACAAAGTGCGCTCGCTGCGCCGTCACTGTGACGGACTCGCAGCATGTCGTTGCCCTCCGCCGCCTCTGGCACGCTGAATGCTGGAAGTGCACCGCTTGCGACGTCGCTTTTACCCGCGATGCCCGCGTCGCCGCCCACTCGGCCCAACCTGCCCGTCCACGGCCAGACCTGTCGCGGAGTCTTCTTCCCGTCCACGTCTCACCGACCATCTCTGGCCTCGGGCCGTGCCTCGGCCTGCGAGCGCCCGACGCTCCGGCTCATGCCTGGCCGCTACTTCCATTCTGCGAAGACTGCTCAGACGCCCTCGCGTGCGCTGCCTGCAACGGCGTCGCATCGCCCACCGGCGGCCCAGACCCGCTCCTCACCGTCACCTTGCTCGACTCTCTTCCCACCACTTCGCCACTTCGGAACTCAAACTCGGACGAAGAGGCCCCGCCCGTCGCTGGTCCGGGCCCGGTCTCGTCCAAGCTCCATGCCTCGTGCTTCATGGCACTCGTCGAGGAAATCGACAGCGGCGAGCGTCCGCAGTGTGTCGCCTGCGGCCAGCCGTGCCTCGACGGCATCGACGCCCTCGGCGGCCTCTTCCATCGCAAGTGTTTTACCTGCGCCAACTGCAAGCTCCCGGTCGACTTTGACGAATGCTTTGTCTTTCGCGGGGTGCCGTACTGCTCGCGGCGCCTGTGCAAGGCCACCGTCCCTACCTCCATCTACTCGATGCCAGCGCCGATCGTCCGCAACCGCCCCTCCTACTCGTACTCGACCACGCCGTCTTCGTATCTCTCCTACTCGTCCGATGGAGACGGCGGCAACGAGCACGACCCACGCTCGCAGACGAATGCGAACCAGCCGCATGCCTCGGACTACTCGGACTTCTACTCGTACTCGAACGACTATTCGAACGCCGTCGTCTACGTCAAGCCACAACTCGCCGACTATCACCAGAATCGCGGCCGCGCCGGCTTTTTCTCCTCGTTTGTATCCTTTGAGTGGGGCACAGACCTTGCGCGCACCCGATCGCGGCCCATGCTTGCCCGCACGCCGAGCAGGCGCTAGTCTTCACCACTCACCACTCTCCGTGCTGCCTGATGGTCTCCCATGCTGACACTGAACAAAACTACATACCCCCCCCCCCCCATCCTTTCCACCGCTTGCATCTATCCGAGCCAGATCGCGTCAGCTCGTCACGCTGACGGCCCAGCGCAGCCAAAAATGCCACATGTAATGCTAACCTGCCCAAACTCGACCTCTCTCGCACCACACCAGCCCACTCTTCTGCACCCGTGACACCTCAACTCGACGACCTCCGCCTCAACAGCGTTCTCATCTCGACTGACTCACCTCTTTAGCCATGTCGGCCACCAAGCCGGTGGACGAGTCGTGGCCGCTCGAGAATGACGTTCTGTGGTTGCAAGCCGAAATGGCAGCGCTCGGCGAAGAGGGAAAGGAGCGTCTGGAACAGCTGTCAAGGGCAGAGTCCGCAGCGCTATCCAACTCTTGTGAGCTGGCGGTGGATGATCTGTTGCTGGATGCACTTGCTGATGACTCGGTCATATCGTCGAGCTTTGAGGACTTGCACGTCGCTGCTCTTGGCGTTGCCTTGGATGACCTCATCCTCGAGCTTCGCCATCCTGAGTTTGGTCTGGAGATCAAGAAACGGACGTATCATCTGCGCAAGTACCACGACTGCTTTGTGGGCTCGGAGGCGGTGGACTGGATGCTTGAGCGGTATGGCGGTGTGGTGGCATCTCGGGAAGATGCTGTCGTTTTCCTTCAGCGCTTGGTCGACATCAAAGTCATTCGCCACGTCTGCGACGATCACCCGCTCCGCGACGGCTACTTCTTTTACCGTTTCCTCGTGGACGACGCAAGCTACTCGCTCAACACTGCGCGTGTGGTGTCGTCGATGGAGACAGAGCCGCTCAGCCTCATCACTAACCTGCGGAAGACCCTGCAGCGGATTTACGGCAACTACCTCCTCGACGACGGCTTGCTGAATCTCGATGCATTGGCGGCTTCGCCCTCGTTTGCGCACTTTCAAGACAACGTCGCCGAGCTTCAGTCGCTGCAGCTCAACACGCTCACCACCCAAGAGCGCACAACGTTCTTCATCAACACTTACAACATACTTGTCGTCCACGCCGCTATTGTGTACGGGCACCCCACCAACCGGTTCCAGCGTGCATGGTTCTTCTCCAAGCCGCACTATCTCATCGACGGGCATGTCTTCTCACTCTCTGTCATCGAGCACGGCATTCTCCGCGCCAATACCAAGGCGCCCGGCGCGCTCCGCGCTCCGCTGCGCCAGGATGATCCGCGGCTTGCCTATGCCTGCGACGGCGTTGACCCGCGCATCCACTTTGCACTCAACTGCGGCGCGATCTCCTGCCCGCCCATCCGCGTCTACCTCCCGCACAACGTCGAGGCTGCCCTCGAGCTCTCGGCGCACAGTTTCTGCGAGCATGAGGCTTGGGTGGTGTCACTGGCCAGCGAGCGCGGCGCTGCCGCCGGTGCCACTGGCAAAGACGACGCCTTGCTCGATGCGTCGGACCACGATGCCGTTTTCGCCGCCAACCCGATGACCCTGCCATCGCCAGCTTCGCGATATGGTGTTTCGCTCTCCAAGCTCTTCTCGTGGTACAACTCGGACTTTGCCACGTCGGACAGAGAGCTCCTTCTCTTCATCGCCCGCTACGTCAACGACATCCGCGCTGCTGTCCTCCACAATCTTGCTACAACCGGCAACTACAAGATCAAGTACCGCAACTACAACTGGACGGCCAACATCCGTGGTTGATGGTTGATGCACCACACGCTCCATTTGCCAACCCGAGGCGTGATTGCGGTCGATCACGGCGAGCACCTTTCAATATCAAACCACTCCTTCCCCCCGTACGTGCCTGCGCCCCGCGCCTCCCGCCAACGTCCCACCACCTCTCTCAAACCATGTCGCTCCGGCTCGACGACCTGACTTCCAGCCGAGGGTGGATCCAAGGCGGGGTACGTACCTCTCACATTTCCCTCACTCGCAGTCTCTAGCCAGTTTGTTACTGCCACACTCATTGGGCTATCTGCGTGTGTGCGGTGCGGCGGAGCAGGAGACAGTGCCGTCGCTACGGGCCGGGTCGGCTGGGAGCCGGCGGCGGGAACGGACTGGCGCTCAGACACCACCGCCGGGTTTGGGAGCTGCTGACAGGGAGAGAGCCGAGCTAGTAGAGGTTGATCTGGGAGGATTGGGAGGAGTATGGATTGCTACGCTGGGATCATGTCTCAAGTCGCTTGTGGCTGCTATGTGGAGAGCGTATCAGAAGAGAGCACGTCGTGTCCATGCCGAGCATGTCTTGCAGCAGATCAGGGGCCGGATGGAGGTAGCGGATCCAGTCCTCCTCGCTCTCGTCCAAGACTTGCATGAGGTGTGCAGCGCAGGGCTGGATGCGGTGGCGCATGTGGCTCCACTGGCTACCTCGTCGCCGATGGGCTTTCTTGGCGTCATTACCCTCGGCGAGCGGAAGGCCTGGCTGGCCAAGGTTGCGGATGCTGATCATGTCGAGCGGGCCCCATCCGCGAGGGCCTACTGCGTCCGCGTCGGCAACGCATGGGTTGATGTCCTCCTCTTGACCCTCGAGTGCAAGTTGAGGGAGGCGCGATCGTTTGTGGCGTCGTCACGGAAAAAGTCGCTTGCTGGCGCTCTGCGTAGCCTTGAGACCTGGGCCGCCGAAGTTCACACCTCGCTCGCCTCGGCGCGTATCGAGTCCGCTGTCGACGAGGCCCTCGGCGATGCCGACGCTGAGGTGGAAAAGGCAGCAAGCCCGAGTCCGGTGCCGACCGCGATGCCATCGACTGTGCTGTCGGCGAGTCGGGAGCAGACGCCCGCCACGCCACCACCAGTTCCGGCGTTGCCCAGCTCGCCGATCCTAGCTGTGCTTTCGACTCGCAGCGAGGTGACGCCGCTTCAGTCGGTGGAGGAGATTGAGGGCTGGATAGCGGCCGGCGAAGCCAACCGCGAGGCAATGCAGGCCGAGGGCGTGACGGCGACCGCGGCGCTCAAAGTGTGGCGGGAGGAGCAAGCCCGCGCAGCGGTGCTGCGGGCGACGCTGGCACATATTGCAGGAGAGCTGCGACAGCTGCAAACCGACGGCAAGTGAGAAGCTTGTTTTACTTGCGCGCCTTAAAGGCGAACTTGGTGGCCTTGAATCGCTCAAGGATGCTCTGGGCGAGCGCGGGTTCCGGTGACTTGGATCGGACGACGGGCGCTAGCGAGGCGTCAACCTTGCCGGTCGCAAGTAGCTTGTCGATCAGGTCCGTGGCGTGACTGGCAACAGCAGTGCGGAGCGGGGCATTGTCTCGGGCGGCGGGGTCGACTCGGGAATCAGCCAGAAGAAGCTCGACGACGTCGGCGTGGCCGAGGCGAACAGCCTCGCAGATGGCCTGATTGTCGCGGGCGGTTGGGTCGACCCGCTCGTCGGCGAGGAAGAGTGGGATTACCGACGCGGCGCCATGAGCCACAGCTGAGAGCAGGGGCTCGTTGTCGCGAACGGCCGGGTCGATCCGGGCATCAGCAAGAAGAATGGCGATGATGCCGACCGCCCCGGTTCTGGCGGCAAGCCGCAGAACGAGACAGTTGCGTTCAGCCGGATCAACGCCGCCATCGGCAAGGAGGGCGGCGACAGCCTTGTCGGCGCCAAGCTTGGCGAGAGCACACAGTACATTCGAGGTCTTGTAAAGCAGCGGAGCAAACCGCTCGGATGAGACGAGCGCACGGGCAACGCGGGAATGGCCCAGCGACATAGCAAGCTCAAATGCGGAGTTGTACACCTTTTGCGAGTACTCGACGTCATCGAGAGTAAGCAGATGGGAGACACACAAGAGCGCACCGTCCTCAACCGCCGCACACAAAAGACGACCGTGGTTGACGGACATATGATCGGTGAGAGGAAGCAGAGTGGAAAACGCAGAGATAGCATCCATAGAAAAGGGGCGTCTCAGATAGGTGTGGCTCGTGAGTACCTGGCGAGCGTTCAGGCAAGACGAAAGGGCAGCGTTGATGACAGCAGGCGATCCCGAGTCGACGATGCACTTGACCACAATCGAGTGGGCGGTTTGCAGCTCAAGGCCCACAGCGCTGGCCAGAATGGTAAAGAGTGAGACACAGCCCTTGCGAGCAACCAAGGCGGTTGCGATGCTCAAGTCTCTTGCGACCTTTGGCGAGGTGGTGTCGATGGACGACAGGACCTGGTTGAGCAGTTCGTTGCGAGCGGCATCGACATTGTCCGCTCCCTTACTCTTTGCCGAGCTTACAGCATGCTGGGCAATGGACCAAACAACGGCGATACCAGGGCGATCCGAGACTGATTTGCAGACCGAGGCAAAGACAGACTGATCATCATCAGGAGAGATCTCGCTAAGATCGAGACGCGCCATGGGAGTCTGAAGCGCAGTCGCAGCCATCAGCTCACTCTGACGCAACATCCATGACACACATCGGTACCTCTCCCACTCCAAGTTGTTCGTCAGTCCAGCCATGGCAAACCACTTGTTTTCAAAGAACGGATCATGGAGAACGGTGTGAAAGTGCTTGGAGGTGGCCGAAAGCGCCGCCATGTCTTTCGCCCGCAGCACCTTGCTCTCCACCACAATCCGATGCAGGACCTCCGGAGGCATGTCTTTCAGCGATGTACAGCCTGTGCTTCCGTCTGTCGACATGATGATGGTGATGAAGATGGAGGGGGGTGGGTGGGGGTGGGGGGGTGGGGGGGGGGGGGGGGTGGGGGTGACGGTAGGGAGAGGTGGTGGTGGGTGCACGGACACGAGGAAGAGCAGGCCGGTCACAGGGTGTAGGAGCGGGTGGTCATCGGTTTGGAACGGATCGGGTGTACGGGGTGCCGATGGGCGGGGTATTGGGGTTAGTGATGATCAAGTTGGGGCTTGGATGGATGGATGGATGGATGGAAGGATGGATGTGTGTGTGTGTGTGTGTGTGTGTGTGTGTGTGTGTGTGTGTGTGTGGTCCCGGGGTAGTGGTAGGGGGTGATGCGTGCGATGTGGGCGATGTGGGCGGTGGAACAGTTACAGAGCGACAAGGAACGAGATGAAAGACAACATACCGATGGATATCTTCTTGAGAAGACTGCCTTGCTGAGTGTGGCATTGTTGTCGGCAGCTCGAATGCGATCATCCGCACAAGTCGGCGATCGGAAGGCAAGTGATGCCATGCCATGCCGTGCGATGCGACGAGCTACATCACGATGCAAGGCGATGACGTAAGGGCATATGGCATTAAAATGAGGGAGAATATATGGATGTGTGTGTTTGTGTGTGTGTGTGTGTGTGGGGGGGGGTTGTGTCGATCGCCGACTCGGCCAAGTCCATTGCTTGACCATGTCCGCCACCAACGCTGCAGCACACGTCGCCCGCCTCCGTCTCAGCCTCAGCCTCAACCACAGCTACAGACAGACCTCTCTCCAGGTTTCCAAAGACGGAGAGGAGGGAGCACATATGGCTGCGACACAGGCAGTGTGGACGGGAAACGAGACCGGGAGCGAGTCTGGCTCTGCGACCATATCTGGTGGTGAAGTTAGCGGTGGTAGCGGTGACATCGGTGGTGGTGGCGGTGGCGGTGGTGGCCGAGGTCGTGGTCGTCCGAGTCGCACAGGTGATGGAGGAGGAGGAGGAGGGAGTGCTATCATGGCGCGCCTTGTGGGTGATGGGGATTGGAGTGGTCATGAGTATGATCTGGTGGTCGGTCGGAATACTGTACTGAGAGCTGCGCAAGATGGTGATGATGATGATGTGAGTAGGGTCAAGGCGGAAGTGGCCAAGCTGCCTGTCACTGATGCTATCGTTGCTGTGGCTGACATACAGATCTCCCGTCCACATGCCTGCATCATGGTGGGTGCGAATGGGAGAAGGGTGTACATCGAAGACCTTGGCTCTCTCAATGGCACTTGGGCAGCTGCCGATCCCATGTCGGATGCCATGGAGAAGCTCGATCTCCGCGTCCGTTACGTCTTCTACTTTCCACCCGACGACGACGAGGGCATCCGCATCCGCTTTGGTACCATGAAGATGCGCATCCTGAAAGGCTCTGGTCGCCGAGTTGCCTTTGCCTCGGACGTCGGACTCAAAGGGCTTGGAAGCTCCGACGTCGGTGGCGCCAAGCGCGACGACAACCACCACAACGACGACGACGTCATTGAGGACGACGATGATGGGGAGGATAGTGATGCCACTCTCTCTGCAGAGCCCGAGCTCGAGCCCAAGTCAGGCTTGCACAGTCAGCCCCCCACTGCAGCTGGCAACGCCGACGCCGACGCCGAGATCGACGAGACTCTGGCTACGCTCCCGGTCACCCATACGGGCGAGCCGCGTGCAGTCTCACCGACCCTGCTCGTCGCTTCGCCACCCAGATCACCGTCCCCGACCCTGCTCGTCGCTTCGCCACCTAGACCGCCGTCCCCTACCTTGCTCATCGCTTCGCCACCCAGACCACCGTCGCCGACGGTGCCCGTAGCCTCGCCACCCAGACAACCGTCGCCGACGGTGCCCATAGCGTCGCCACCCAGACAACCGTCGCCGACGGTGCGCGCTGTCTCGCCCACAATGTGCGCAGCGTCACCAATTGTCGATGATGACGATGAGTCGACCACGGACGCAGGCACTGCTCCCATGCCACAGGTTCCGACCACCGGCAGCAAATCCGAGAGCGGCTCGGATGCCACCGTTGGTGACGGTGACTCGGTTGGGGCACTGCTAATTCCGATGGACTGCCCGCCGCCGTCGCAGCCGTCATCGCTGATCCACGCTGCTTCGCACTCGGTTGTCATCTCAGATGAGTCGTCGGACATTGCGCTTGGTGACAATGACGGCTCGGTCACCGACGATGGACAAACCGGCTCCGATTCGGAGGCCAACGCGTCGTCCGAAGCACCGCCGCTGGTGGGCCCAGGCGCCGACTCGGAGGTGACACTTACGATGCATGCAGCAACGGCGTCGATTGGCTCGGCGGCCGGTGGCGTGCCGGCGCCGCCAGCGAAGCCGCAGCGGTCGAGACGGCGAGTCATCACCGACACGCTCGACATGGACGACGAGAGCGATGAGAGCGACAGCAGCGCGACCGCCGGCGGTGCTGACCGCGCCGCTGCAACCACTGAGGCTGTTGCTATGGACCTCGTGACATCCGACGCTGCACTCGACACCGATGATGAGACCACAGACGGCGGCGAGGAAGGCTCTACCACGGCCCCGGCTGACGCAATAACCGTCTCGTCGACTGCGGCTGTCGGCACCGACCTCGCGACCTCCAACGCTGCCGTCGACAAGGATGCCGAGATCGCGAGCAGCGGCGCGGAAGACACTACCACTGATTCGGTGGATGATGTCGCTGCTGCAGAATCCATCGTCATTCTGCCGGCTGTCGATCCTCCGCCGCCACCTGCCGACCCCTCACCTGCGCCACCGGCGTCGGTGGCAGACGCGTTTGCGGCCGTGGCAGGCGACCTCTCCACTCCCCCCTCCTCCCTCACGGTGGCCAAGCTCAAGGCCGTCTGCACCGCCGCTGGCCTCTCCACCACCGGCCGCAAGGCAGATCTCGTCTCACGTGTTGCTGCTGCCCTCCCAGCGGCCGCTGCCCCGGCGTCCGATCCCACGGCTGGGCCCAAGCGCAAGCGCAAGCGGTCGAAAAAGGCGTCGCCGCCTCCCAGAGCGCCGCGGGCCAAGCGGGCCAAGCGGGCCAAGCCGAACGCGCCGGCTGTGTCCAAGTCCCAGGCCACCACGACAGTGGCGGCGTCGCCAGCTGCCACTTCATCGTCAGCGGCAATCGCCGTCATGCTGACCGGCATCACTGACTCGGAGGCAGAGCGCATGGTTGCATCGCTCGGTGGGAGCATGGCGACTGAGCCAGCCGGTGCCACCCACCTCATCACCGACAAGGTTCGGAGGACGGCCAAGTTTATGGCTTGCCTCGCGCGCGGCGTCCCCATTGTGTCGGACAAGTGGCTCGATGACTCGTTCCGTGCCGGCCACGCCCTCGCCGCCGACACCTACATCCTTCGCGATCGCCCTGCCGAGCGCAAGTTTGGCTTCAAGTTGCAAGACTCACTCGCTGCCGCCGCCGCTCATAATCTCTTTGGCGGCCTCTGTGTCTATGTCACGCCCAGGACTGTGCCGCCGCCGGCCATGCTCCACGACATCATCATCGTGACCGGAGGCACGGTTTGCAAGAGCAAGGCGGCGGCGCTGCGGAGCGCGGCGACAATTGTTGTCGCCTGCGATGCCGACGCCGCCTTTGCCGCCAAGGCCGCCTCCAAGGGCCACACGGTTGTCTCGTCTGAGTTCGTACTCTCGGGCCTGTTGCGCTACAAGCTCGAGGCGGAGGCCTTTGCGATGTAAAGGCCGACTCTCGCTGCTTCGACTCCGACCTTTAATCAAGCTAGCTGTCGCGAAGCAGATGCTCGGCGCCGTACCGCGCCGCAAAAGCGCGGCCCGAGGTAGGCATGGTAAGCCCGGCGGTCCCGAGATGATGAACAACGAGCTTGGCGACTTCAGGCGCCTCGACGCGAATCGCCTTCTTGAACACGGTCTCCAGCGCCACCACCGGAACCGCCACCTTTGCCGCCGCGGCGTCGGTCAGCATGGCCTCGACCGTCTCTAGCGTCTCAGACCGAACCGCTGCCAACAGCAGCGCCGCATACGATGCCGGCGACCGGGAAAAGCCCGAGTCGGCCATGAGCTTGTCGTAAAAGCCCACCTCGTGCATCTGCCCAAACGTGGCGTAGCCGAGGAGCAGCGCGTCAAAGGTCTCGGCCGTCGGTACCACGCCCTGCGCCACAGCCTCCTTGAACGTGGCAGCCATGCGCTCAGTCTCGCCGATCCGCGCGCAAGCTTGCAGAATAACGTTGAACGCACTAATGGTGGGCGCACTGCCATCGGCTATCGCCGCCTCCAGCACGTCGCACGCAGCCTCGGCAGTCTCGGGCGAGGCACCAATGGCGTCGACCACAGGCATCAGCTCATCGACGCTCAGCACTTCGCCGCATCCGTTCTCGTCGGCCTCGCACATCAGTCGCAGCGCCGTCGACACATCGTTCGCCTGCGCAGCGCTGTTGATGAGCGCAAGCTCCGCCTCGCGCGGCTCGTACCCGGCCTCTAGCCACAGCTCGGACCCCGCCCGGGCCAGCTCCAGCTCACCGGAAGCGACAGCTGTGTCTAGCACGGCGGCCAAGATCCCTCGGTCGAGCCGACTGCGACAGCCGCCGGTCGTTTGGGCGGCGGCAACGAGCTCGTCTGTCCGCGCCGCGACCTTGTCGAGCGCAAAGGCGGTGCCCTCTGCATGCAAATGGGTGGTAAAGAGCGAGAGCGCCCGCCAGTACACGTTGTTGGCCACTGACGCGCCTGTCAGCTCGAGCTCGCGAAGGACAACCAGCGCCGCTGGCGGATCGGCGTGCCTGATGGCGGCGTTGAAGAGGCCAAGATAGACGGCCGAGTGCGGGAGATGGCCATCATCCAGGACGTCCTGCAGCAGACGGAGGGCCACATCCAGCCTCCCGCCCTCTGCGGTCGCCAGCAGCAGCGACTCACGAGTCCGGAGCGTCGGCTTGAGCTTGAACCGCCTCTGCATCATCTCGTAGAGAGCAAAGGCGCGCTTGACATCAAAGGGAGAGGAGCAGCATCTGAGCAGAGCGTTAAAGGTAGGCACTGTAGGAGCCAATCCTGCACGAGTCATTTCCTCCAGCAGAGCATATCCAGTAACAATGTCTCTTTCACTTGCCAGTGCGTTCATCAAACCATTGTATGTCCCCACATTGGGCACGATGCCCTTGGCCTTCATCTCCTCTGCCAACGCCAGTGCCTTGCTCCCACTACCACGACCACGGGCCTTGGCTATGGCTGCGTTGTACCCACTCACCGAAGACACCAGACGCACACCGTCCTTCACACATACACCTCGACACAAGTGGAGCATCTTGCTGTCTCTTGAGTCGGGTGCTGTGCCCCCCCCTCCCCCCTCAAGTCGCCGTCTGCCCTGGCTGTAGCCGTAGCCCAACCGAGCGAGCGAGCCAAAGGGTGCTGACCCGTGGATCGAGCGAACTCGGCCCTCGGGGACGACAAGGCGACCAAGCTGAGATCGCCACCACACACATGATCATGATCATGATCAAATAGCCCCCCCCCCTACATCGCCCATATCCTTCCCCTCCTCTCCTTCCTTCACTCCATCCTTCCCTTTTCTCTCAACCACATGTCCCCACTCCCCCCCCCCCCCCCTCCCTTTCCCCTCGTCACACCCGTCACACCCTTCATCACCACGTCGTCGCCTTTCCTCCAATCATCAAGCCTTCTTAAACTCTCTGATCTGACGGCTGCATCAGCACCATCTTCTCCTGAAGTAGTGACTGGTCCAGGTTGTGATTCTGGTGGAGAGACTCCTGAATTGCGAGCCAGATGGCGGCATTGGTCCCTGAGGCAGCAGAGTCTGGTGATGGTTGGGCGGAGCGGAGGGGCAATGGCCCAATTCCACCAAATCCTCGTCCCCTCCCCTGCTGCCGCTGCCGCTGGCCTTGACTGACACCGCTCTCTGTACAGGCTCTATTGAGAGGATCAGTTGGACAAGTGACATGTGGAGAGGAAGGGTATTGGAAAAGGTGGTAGAGGGAAGGAGGAGGAGTTGTGTGCTGCTATGGACCATGGTGGCAGTGTGGGTCACCGCTTCCCTCCCCACCTCGACCACTCCCGTCTTCCGCAGGTGACAGCTGTTCGTAGTCATGGCGGACGAAGGAGTTCAAGTGGAAAGTCATCCGGTGGGCAACAACAGCTCGTAGTGGCTCTCGCTAGTAGCCATTATGGATCGAGTGCCAGTGGTAGTGGGCTGTTATTTTCCTCGGACATCGATGTGGTCGAACAGGAGGAGGAAGATGACGATGATGATGTTCTCTCGTTCTCCTCTGATGCTGAAGATGATGATGAAGATGAGCCCGGCACCGGAGGAGGTTGCACTGGTCAAAGTCGAGACGACGGCCGCCAGTCGACTACCGATGCGGATGCGATTGGAGATGTTTCGACAACTAGGGATACACGCGGCGGCTCCTCGTCGACGACATCGTCGTCGGCATCGTCGCGCTCCAAGTCGTCGTCACCCTCGCTCTCCGGCGGCGAATCCGAGTCTTCTGACTTGTCCGACTCGCCCAACTCGTCCGACGTTGATGTCCGCCTGCCGGCGGCGAGAGTCAGCACGCCCGATGGCACCGACGCCGCGAGCGAGACCCAGACCCAGACCCAGACCCAGACCCAGAGTGTGGCGCCCGAGTCGTCGGTCAAAGCCAAAAGTCGTCGCGGCTATTCCGCCTCCGTAGCCGCAAGTCCAAGTCCAAGTCCAAGACCAAGACCAAGACCAAGACCAAGACCAAGTCGCCTTCACTCTCAAAGTCCAAGTTCAAATCCAAGTCTCGCACAGCGGCCAAGGTCTCCGACTCGTCGTCGGCCTCGGGGCCCGACAACCCTTCGCCCAAGTTTACGCCCAAGCCCCAGCAGGCATCATCGTCATCGTCGTCGTCGTCGTCGTCATCGTCGTCGTCATCATCGTCGTCGTCGTCGTCGGGTCCCTCGTCCACACAGGCCACCGCTGCTGGTGCTGTAGTGCCGACCTCGACAGCTAGCAAATCCAGCCGCAGCGGGCGGTCGAAGCGGTCTTCACGCGAACGGACCGGATCCGGGAGCAAGCTGTCGCGCGGAACGTCCAAGTCCAAGCACCGGCGTTCGCGCGGGAGCAAGGCCAAGATCAAGTCCAAGGCGGCCAAGCGCAGTCGCCACAAGTCTCGGCCCGAGCCGATACAGGCCTACGAAGACTCGTACCAGGACGCCGTCGCCCGGTTTGAGCAGTACGACCAGTACGAGTCGCGGCTGCTCTCCATGGCAGCCACTGACGATCCGATCACAGCGTCAGACTCGGGCTCGGGCTCGTCGTCGACCTTCTCCTCGCTCTCGGGCTCGTCGTCGAGCTCAGGCTCGCAGCTCGCAGTACAGCCGGGCGGAGGCCGCATGGGCTCGCATCCTGTGGTGATCGAGGAAGACAAGGTGCTGGGCAAAGGCAACTTTTCCACCGTCTACCGCGGTTACCTTGGGGATGTCGCAGTGGCCATCAAGATCCCACGCGTCCCACCGGAGCTGCAAAAGCCCGACGCCAACATGTCAGCCGCCAAGCTGCAGGCCCGTATCAAGCGGCGGAAAAAGGTCAAGTCACCCGAGTGGCTGTGGAACCAGGAGCTGTCTATGCTGCGCGCAGCGTGCGCCAGGCCACGCTCCAAGTACGTCTGCCGCCTTGTCGGCGAGGGCACGTTTGTACGGCCAGGCAGCGACGACGATGATGTGGTCAAGGGCCTCATCTTCAAGATGTATGTCGGCGGCACGCTCACCGACCACATCAACAAGCGGAAGGGCGAGCACGGCGGCCTCCCGCAGGCCGCCTTTCTCAAGCACGCCCGCGAGATGGCCGACGGCCTCGCCTTTCTCCACGCCCGGAACATTGTCTTCCGCGACCTCAAGCCCGACAACTGCCTCATCTCGCAGCCGGTCGGTGGCCACCTGGTCCTCGCAGACTTTGGGCTGGCCCAGAATGCAGGGCTGCCGTCGCTCCACGGCATCCTCGGGACCCGAACCTACATGGCGCCCGAGGGCTTCTCCGGCAAGCGGCTTGTTCAGCCGGCGCTCGACGTCTGGTCCTTTGGTTGTTGCCTCATCCACATGTGGTGCGGCGTCCGGCCGTGGAACGACTACTCGCGCGACGAGTTCCATGAGGCCCGACACAACTTTGAGACGCCCGAGCTGCCCATCGATGACTTTGACCAGCACAAGATGATGGTCCGTGATTACCGCCAGCTCTGGCTCGAGCAAAAGGTGCGCGACCTCATGGAGCGAGCCGTCGTCTACGACGCCGACGACCGCACCCTCACTGCCGCCCTCGCCGCCCGCATCCTCCGCCACCTCATCCATGTCGTCGCCTCGGAGCGCAAAATTGCCCAGAAGAGCTCGGCCTCGTTCTCCTCGCGCTCCCGTCGCTCCACCTCCAAGCGCTCGTCCTCCCGCCGCCACACCCGCGACCGCGATCGCAGCGCCAAGCGCCGCTCGCGCCAGTCCAAGCACACACCGCCGCGCCCGACCACCGCGCCTCCCGCCTCGTCATCTTCGACAACCTCGTCGTCGTCGACGTCTTCGTAGCCCTCTTTCTGCCATACTGCCATCTTCAAAGCACAGGGCTAGCCGCACCTGTCTCCACCTGACTCCACCTGACTCCATCAGACTGACTACATCGCCTCGGAGGCACGCGCCACAGCCATGGATGCCGAAGAGCTTCCGCTACTCGGAGGAGAGGAACGCGGCATAGTAGGGCATGGCAGAGGGTGGCAGGAGTGTCTGTACGGTGGGCTGGAGAGCAGACTCGCCGATGACCTTGTGCTTGTTCTGGTGGCGGTCAACGTGATCTCGTTTGTGCTCTCGACAGTGGATGCCATCGACGACAAAGTGGGGACGGTGTTTGATGTCATCGAAGCTGTCTCGGTGGCCCTCTTCACCATCGAGTATGGTCTACGGATGGTGGCGATCGGCGTAGAAGACAAGTACGCTGGTTGGTCTGGTCGCGCAAAGTGGATGGTCTCATTCTTCTCGCTCGTCGATCTCGCTGCCATCATGCCGTTCTACGTCGGCTTGGCTATCGGCGATGATGTCGGCACCACGCAGTTTGTGCGCATCTTGCGTGTCTTTCGCATGTTTCGCGCCGAGGGCCGGCTCGTCGAGGCCTTTACTCTGCTGGATGATGTGGTGCGGGCGAACCGGGCTCTCCTGGCTACTTCGTCGTTCATGGGCGCTGCGCTATGGCTTCTTCTTGCCGGCGTGTTGTATGCAACCGAGAAGGACAACCCCGATGTGGCTGGAGAGTACGATACCTTCTTCAAGGCACTCTGGTACGCGCTGCTCAACTTGCTTGGCGAGTTCCCGATCGCTGCCGAGCTGTCTAGCGCCGGCAAGGCGGTCTCTTGCTTCACTGTCGTCTTTGCAGTCGGATTCTTCTCGATCCCAACCGGGATTATCGGCGCGGGCCTGCTTGACATGCTGACCGAGCGGCGCAATGCGCGTGCTGTCGCAGATGACAGCCGTGATGCCGCCAACGTCAGTCGAGAACATAGTCTCTGCCGTGGATGTGAAGCTTCCGCCCGTCAAGCTCACATTGCCGCCAAGGGGCTCGGTGGCCGCCTTTATCTTGTACTCGACGGTGTCGGCGTTTGGGGCAGGATCATCGAGGCCTGCATCATGGCTCTCATTGTTGTCAACGTGGTAGTGTTTTCGATCTCGACTCTACCAGACATTGGCTACGACGGTGCGTTCTTTGTGTTTGAGGCAATGACGGTCGGCCTGTTTTCGGTCGAGTACCTGCTCCGGCTGTGGACAGTGGCGTTTGGTACAGCTGGCGAGGGCGAGACGAGCTGGCAGGCTCGGGCGCGATGGGTTGTCTCGTTTGAGTCTGCCGTGGATCTAGCGTCGATTGTTCCGTTCTACGTCGACCTCGCGTTGACAGGGACGGATGTCTCGCCGACGACGCTGCTGCGAGTGCTGCGGCTAGTTAGGCTGCTCAAGGCCGACTCGTATGTCCATGTCTTTGATCTGATGGACGATGTGGTGCGGGCAAACGGGGCGATGTTGGCGACAACGGCGTGGGTGGCGCTGGTGGTGTGGATACTGGCGGCGTCGCTGATGTATGCCACCGAGCGGCACAACAGCAATCTCGAGGTTGCGTCCGAGTTTGAGTCTGTGCCCGAGGCGCTGTGGATCACCTTTCTCAACCTGACTGGCGAGTACCCGCTGGCAGACTACACTCCGTGGGGCAAGGTTGTGTCGTCAGTGGTGGCACTCGTGGCCATCGGCGTCGCCGCGCTACCGACCGGCATCTGGGCGGCCGGCTTTGAGGACGCGCTCGCCGAGGCCAAGGCGCACACGGCCGAGGACACCACCGAGTGCGAGCAGTGCATCTCGCCTGAGCTCGCAGCATCATCGGCGCGGCTGCGACTGCGAGCGGCGGCGTTTGTGCCGCTGGCGGCGCACTCGCCACAAAGGGCGGCGCAGCTACGGAGCTCGGGACAATCTGCGGCGGCTCGAGCACCGGACTGGATACGCAGCCTGTACGCCTTTGTCTCGGGTGCAACTCGTGCCGGAGCAGCGGCCGAGCTTGTGGTGGTGGGCCTCATCTTTGTCAACACCATCACGTTTGTGCTCGGCTCGGTCGACTCGGTGGCTGCAAGCGCGACTGCGGTCAAGGTCTTTGAAGTCCTCGAGGGCTGCACGATGGCGGTGTTTGCGGTCGAGTACGCGGCGCGGGTGATAGCGGCGGGAGCAGATGCCAAGTACGCTCGGTTTGGCTGGCCGCGACTACGGTACTGCTGCTCACTCTTCGCGCTCCTTGATCTGGCGTGCCTTGTCCCGTATGGCGTGGAGCTTGTAACGCGAACCGAGCTGAGCTCGACGGTTGTGTTCCGGCTGTTTCGGCTGATGTTCCTGCTCAAATCAGAGTCGTTTGTGAGTGTCTTTACGCTGCTTGACGATGTGTTTGTGGCCAAAGCGCCACTGCTGCTGTCGTCGGCGTTTGTGGCCGGTGTGTGCTTGATTGTCTTTGCCACACTCTTGCACTACACCGAGCAGCACAACGAGATTGTGGTGAACGATCTAAGCATGGCGGCACGATACGAGAGCATCCCGTCGGCGCTGTGGTACACGCTGGTCCACCTGACGGGCGACTACCCGCTGTACCAGTACACGTGGTGGGGCAAGGGCGTCAACTTTGTGTCTGCGCTCACGGCGGTGGGCGTTGTGGGCATTCCGTCGGCCGCGATTGCTTCGGGCTTTGTCTCTGCGCGGGCGGCAATTGACGGTGGCGAGTTCGGCGGTGAGCGGGACGACGCACTTCCGCTGATCCCAGCAGCGGGCGACGACGCGCGGTGCCGGCAATGCCGGGTGGAGAGGGCACGCGCCACAGGCGTCGCCGGCTGGCTCCACGCACTGTTTGTTGGCGATCTACGCGTCGGCCACTGGCCCAACTACCTCCTCAACGGGCTGATTGCGGTGAATCTTGTGGCGTTCGCGCTCGGGACCGAGCCAAGTGTCCGCGCGGGAAGCGGCGGGCGGGTGGGCGACGCGCTTGACGTGGTCGAGTGGATCTCGGTAACGGTCTTTACGATCGAGTATGTGGCACGGCTTGTAGCTGCCGACGCAGATCCTGACTGGGGCTACTCGCGGCTGCGGTACGGGTGCTCGTTCTTTGCGCTCGTTGATCTTACGGCGATCGTGCCATTCTACGTGAGCGTGGCCATCGGTGACAGGACATCTGTATCGACGCTCCTTCGCGCACTGCGAGTGGTGCGGGTGCTCAAGGGTGAACACTCTGTGGAGGCGTTCACGCTGGTGGACAACGTGGTGGCGGCGACGGGCCGGGTGTTGGCGACGACTGGCTTTGCAGCCGCTCTGGTATGGATCATCTCGGCCTCGCTGTTCTACATTGCGGAACGCTCACAGGCGTACACGGATGGCGCTTTTGACAACATGCTTCTCTCGCTCTTCTTCACCATGATCTTCCTCGGAGGCGAGTGGGCGGTGGTGGACTTTACGCCGTGGGGCGAGGCTGTGGGTGCGTTCACCATCGTGCTCGCCATCGCCATCTTTGCGGTTCCAGGCGGCATTCTCTTTGACGGCTTTGCCGACATTGCCAATAAGCGGCGTGAGCTGCGAGACCAGCTAGCTTCACGCGATCTGCTCTGCTCTGGCTGCGGCGCGCACATCCAATCGTTCGTCCGCCATCACGTGGCCTAGAGCGCAGTGTCGGGCGTGGGCGAGGTGATTCCGAGTACCTGCGGAAGGCTACCTACGATGAACTTGGCAGCAAGGAGTCTAGAGCCTGGGACAACGAGCCAGGCTGATAGGATTTGTTGGGAGAGCCCAGCGAGTGTGAGCTAGCTGATTCGGCCGAGCTGGCGTGACGAAGGCTGGTCAGCGAACAAGCGAACACGACCTGGCCAGGTTGGCGACTCGTGGCCGGGCGAGGCTACCGGGGGCACAGCACGAGTACGACACCTGACTCTATAGACGAGAGAGTATGTCTGCAGACGGCGGTTCATGCTCAGGCTCGGGGTCTACCTCGGGCGACGAGAAGGTTGTGGACCTGACGTACCAGGCGCCAGGGGTAGCGGAAGCGCTGGACGCCGAGGTGGAGGTGGTGGACGCGACAGGGAATGGGTGGACGGAGATGGAGCTGCTGAAGGGACTGGCCAAGTTGCAGACTGTGTGCTTGCGGAACAACAGGGTGAGCAAGGTGGAATGTCTGGAGGCGGCCACAGAGCTGGAGGAGCTTGACCTGTATGGCAACTCGGTCAAGGTCATCGAGGGTGTGGCTCACCTCTCCAAGCTCGTCATCCTCGACTTCTCGTTCAATCTCATCCGGTCGATGGCCCCGCTCGGTGTGCCCGACATTTCGTTTACCGGCCTGCGCAAGCTGTATCTGTGTTCGAACAAGATCACCAAGATCGAGGGGCTGGAGAAGCTGACGGCCCTGGAGATGCTCGAGCTCGGATCGAACCGGCTGCGGACGATCGAAGGCCTGGAGACGCTCACAGCGCTGCGGGAGCTGTGGCTTGGGCGCAACAAGCTCGAGAAGATCACCGGGCTGGAGAACCTGACCAATCTGGAGATCTTGGACTTGCAGTCGAACCGGCTGACCAAGCTCGAGGGGCTCGAGGCCAACACCAAGCTGACGGACCTGTACCTGGCACACAACGCGATCGAGAGCCTCGAGGGCATTGCGCAGCTTGTGGCGCTGGAGACGTTTGACATCTCAAACAACGCGCTGTCGGCGATTCCGGCCGACGAGCTCCCGCGAGCAGCGCTGACCGAGTTCTGGATGAACCACAACACCGTGAGCGACTGGGCCGACGTCGAGGTGCTCAAGGACGCACCTCAGCTCGAGACGGTGTACTTTGAGGGCAACCCCATTGCCGAGCACCCGCGGTACCGCGCCATCATGGCCGACACGCTCCCGCAGATCAAGCAGATCGACGCGACGCTGATCCGGACGCGGATGTAAACTGCCGGCTCGACGGAGGACGCGCTGGCCAATAACATGCACGACGCGGGCCGCCTTGCGCATGCTTTCTCACACAATAGTGCCCAGCGAGGCAGCCTGCTGATGTGCATGCTCCTTGACCTTGGCCACAAGAACTTCGTGGATGAGAGCGGCGCCCTTCATAGCCAGCGAGACGAGAGCGTCGTAGACGTCGAGCGGGATGCGGTCGTTGATCTTGACCAGCGAGAGCGTGGCCTCGGTGGGGAGCATGGCCAGCAGCAGCTCGGGGCCGCCACCGGACGAGTCCTCCAGATAGTTGAGATCCAGCACGTTGGCGCCGTCGATGTGGCCGGCCGAGCAGGCGACGACAAAGTCCTTGAGCGGGATGCCAGCGTCGATGAGCGCCAGAGTAGCCGCGTTGATGGCAGCAGCAACGTTGCCACCATCCGCCTGCAGAACATGGACAAAGATGTCGATTTGTGAACGCGGGAAGAGCTCTGTCAGAATGACCGGCTCAAAGGTAGCCACCAGCATCTGCGAGACCTCTGCCGACCGCTTGTCGCCCTTTGAGCTCTTCTTCCGCTCGCCTGTGGCAAAGGTAGCCATACCAAACTCTGCACGAACAACAGCACGATCATGCTTGGCCATCGAAGCCCGCCGCACTTCCCGGGGTCCGTACACTGCCGCCACCACCTTGGTATTGCCCATCTCCACATAGGCTGATCCGTCGGCCCGCGAGAACAGATCCATCCGGGCTTGCAGCTTACGGAGCTCGTCCGGCCGCCGTCCGTCCAGCCGCAAGCCTTCTGGGGACACAAACTCTCTCCGGGACTGTATACAAGGAAGGGGGAAGGGGAGGGTGAGTGTAGGGGGGGGGGGGGGCAAGGAGGGCATGGGGTCGGTCAAGGCTTGCGGCGTACCATGGTACGAAGGCGCTGGAGTGGGGTGATCCTGATCCTGATCCTGATCAAGTTTGTGTGGGCAGATTCGATGGTCGAGTGGGCGGACAGGGATAGCGGATGAGTAATGCGTGTAAGATGGTATGTGTGCTAGAGACAGGAGAAGGTGAGTGTAGTTGGAAGGGGGTTAGATCTTTGGGTCGTGGCCTGATTGAAGCAGAGTGAGGTACAGCGGAGAGCACCGCAGTGGAGAGTATCGCAGCGGAGAGCACCGCAGCGCGGCGCAGCACAGCGCGGCGCATGGCTGGTGGGGGCGGGACGTCTGGGTGGGCCGAGAGTGACATGCTCAATCGGGGCGGCGTGTGCTCGCGGAAGGCGAAGATTTGAGAGCTTACAATCTCACGACGTTGTTGATAACAAGGCAAGAATCGGAGGAGCGCTTAGAGCAGAGAGCGACGAGGTTGTGGATGGCGCCGGTGAAGATGTTGTTGGCAACCATGATCGCACCTGAAGACTCACGAGTGCGGTCGATCTGCGAGAAGCACGTGCCCGAGATGCAGTTGTTCTGCAGAAAGAGCGAGTCGGTGATCGAGACCGCGGTGGCGCCCGCGATGGTGACGGCAGGCAAACCCTTGTGATGGACGTCCCACTGGGTAAAGGTGCATCCAGAGAAAGAGACCATGCCGGAGCCGGCGACCGAGGCAATCGAGTACGATGGGCCCCAGAAGGCGGTGTTGGAGACGGTGACAGTGCCCGAGTTGGTCGGTGCGACAACGAGCTCGATCGAGGTGACCGAGACATTGGCCCATTGCGGCGAGGCGAACGAGGTGAACTCACAGGCTGCGATCTGCAGGCCCCACACGTCGACTTGCTCGATCAAGACCGACGCGTTGTACGCCATGTCAGCGCCACTCTCCTCGAGAATGCCATTGGTGGCGCCGGCTGCGGTCTCGATAAAATGGAACCCGACCGAGTAGGCAAAGGCAAAGAGGCGGGTGCAGAACTGCCAGTCAGAGCGGCCAAGGACAAATGCCCGTCCTCTAGTCAGCTGCAGCCGCATGTACTCGGGATGCTGCGAGTACCAGGGGTTAAAGTGGATGTCAATCATGCGACCGATGTCAGTCACATCGTCGACGTAGATGCCGATGAGCGACGGCTGACCGTAGACCCGGGCGATGTAGTGGCGGGCGGCGCCAACAGCCGAAATGAACTGGTACGGATTGACGCCCTCGACATCGATGACGGCAGAGTTGACCGAGAGCGAGAGAGTGAATGGGTACGGGGTCGGCGCAGCCTTGGGGTCCTGGTCTGGATAGTAAAGGACCACGCCGCGGAGGGTGGCGTCCTGCTTGAGGGTGGCGAATGGAGTTCCCGACGCCTCGCCGCGGCCACCCACCACCAGCAGCACCGATCCATGTGTGGGCGGCAGCCCACCCTCGCCAACGTTGTGTGCTGGTGGCGCGCGATACGTGCCCTCGAGCGACACGCCGACGGGCACGGTGATCGACGAGTGGAAAGTGAACTGGCCGGCCGGAACCCAGACGATGCCGCCACCTGCAGCCAGAGCAGCGTTGAGAGCCGCCTGGAACGGCACCGCGTTGTCAAACGAGCCATCACCGGCCCTGGCACCATGATCCAGCACGTTAGTCACGGAGTTTTGCTCCGTCGTGCCTCTGCGAGCCGGGCCAACGCTAGATCCATGCCATCGATCGTGTCGTGCCTCGAGCGCACGGGCAAGGAGGCGGCCTTGGACGCGCCGTGCTGACGACATGCCGACGGAGAGGGAGACAAGAACGAGCAAGAGAGGTAATATAGTCCGCACAGCAATGCGCGTGGTACCAGGCATGTGACTGTCGGACTGTGTCGGGTGTGCGTCGCCGTTGTTGCCCCGTTGCCAGGCGCTGCGCCACAGGTGCGCGTGCGCGTGCGCGCAAACTGGTTGCTGGTTGAATGGGGGGGTGGAGGGGGGGGGGGGGGGGGGGGGGGAGGGTGAGGGGAGTGGCGACAGGGCGAGACTATGCCACACCACTCTTTCCGAGCTTACGGAAGCAGAAAGCAGAGTGGGTGTACTGGTGCTGGTGTGGTGCACGGGTGTGGTGACTGTGTTTGTGGCTGGAAGCTGGAGCTAGAACGCGGCGACCTGACCGACGACCTGACCGACGACCTGACCGACGACCTGATCCACTCCTCGTCATCGACCGGGCTGCGACAACAGTAGCAAGGCACGTGATTGCATCATGCAGCTGCTGCGAATCCTGAGGGGAACGCTGGCTGTGGCGGCGACCTGGGCGTTTCTGGCAGTCTCGTTTGTCATCATGCTGCCATTCTTCCTTGTGGCGCTAGTGTGCGGCGGATGGTCGATGGCACGCCGGTGGGTTGGCTATCCGGCGGGCGCGTGGGTGGTGTTTCCGGGTATGGCGGCAATCGCCGAGTGGTGGGGCGGCTCGACGCTGCGGGTCCACACGTCGTCGCCTGCGGGCGCCAAGTCCCCCGACGCCATTCTGGTGCCTGGCGAGTCTGCGCTGGTCATGGCCAATCACGTGTTTGCGCTCGACTGGTGGGCCATCATGCGGCTGGGCGTCCGTATTCGGTCGGCCGGCTGGCTTGTGTTCCTGGCCAAGGACTCGGTCAAGTACATCCCGGTGGTGGGATGGGTGGTGGCCATGGCGGGCGTGCTGCTGCGGCGGTCGTGGGACTTGGATGCGGCGCGGCTGTTTGCCGCCTTTCGCGCTGCGGGTGCCGCCGGCCAGCCGGTCTGGCTCATGTGCCACCCCGAGGGCACCCGCATGTCGCCGGCCAAACTTGCGGCGTCGCAGGCGTGGCTGGAAGCTCAAGGCCGTGACCAAATGGACCATGTACTCGCACCGCGGGTCAAGGCTGTCATTGCCGCCGTTGCCGCGCTCCACTCGCGGTTCGCGGCCATCTACGACCTCACACTCGCGTATCCTGACGGCACGCCGTCGATCTGGAAGGTTGCTTGCTCTTGTGCGCCCGATGTCCACCTCCACGTCGACCGCATCCCGATTCCGGTGCTCTTCGAGCAGATTGCCGCCGCCGGCGGGCTAGACGCTGCCGCCGTGCCGGATCTGTTTGACGCGACCGCGTCGGGTGACGCAACGGCTGCCGCTGTCATCCTCCCGCTCATGAAAGAGTGGGTCCGCGCTCGCTGGCAGCTCAAGGAGCGGCGGCTGCGCGAGTTCCACGCCCGCGGCGGGCAGTTTGACCCCGACGAGGCGCGCGAGCTTCCGTTGCCGAGTCTTTCGCAGCATGGCGCGTTTGTGCGCGATGGACTGACACGGACATGGCCGCGGCAAGCAGTGGCTCAGTAGCGGTTTCCAGCTTTATCACCTCGTTCACTTCTTGCTGAGCGCGTCGTTGAGCAGGGCATCAAGGCGCTTGACCATAGAACGCGGGTCCTCAAGTAGGCCAGCAGAAATCATGGCGTTGTCAAAGACCTGCTGGGCAACACGCAGAGCGAGGTCGGGCTCCTCGACACGGGCAGAAACCAGCTTGGAGATGATAGGCGACTTGGGGTTGATCTCGAGAGTGTAGCTCTCCTCCATGTCGTTGACGCCGGTCCGGGCGCCAACCATGCGGATCATCTGGCGCATGGTGGCCGAGTCGTGCTCGACAATCAGCGCCGGCGCCGAGGTCACGCGCTTGGTTGCCTTGACCTCGGACACCTTCTCGCCGAGCGAATCCTTCATCCACTCGAGCAAGCCGTCGAGGGCCTCGCCCTTGGGCGCGGCGGCAGTGTTGTCGCCGTCGTCCGCCGATGCATCGTCGTCGCCGGCCTCGGTCGCCTTAAACTCGTCGCCAATGTCCTCAGACTCGATCGAGACCAGCTTCTTGCCGGCGTACGAGCCGAGGTGGCGCATGACAAACTCGTCGACCGGCTGGTCGAGGAGAATGACCTCGGTGCCCTTGGAGGCAAAGGCGTCCATGTAGGGCGAAGCGAGTGCGAGCTCGCGCGACGGCGCGACCACGTAGTACAGCTTATCCTGCTCCTCGGGTGTGCCCTCGAGCACCTCGTCGAGAGTCTTGTTGCCCTCGCCTGACGTGGTCGGGAAGAGCATGAGCTTGCCGAGCGCGTCCTTGTACTGATCGGTGGCGCAAATGCCCTCCTTGAGGAAGTTGCCAAACTCGCCAAACCACTTGGCGTACGCCGTCCGGTCGGCGGCCAGCTCCTCCGAAAAGTGCTTGAGAATGCGCTTGGTGAGGATGCGGTTGAGGTTGGCGATGAGCGCGTCGTCCTGGGTAAACTCGCGCGAGAGGTTGAGCGGAAGATCCTCCGAGTCCACAACGCCCTTGACAAAGCGCAGCCACTCGGGAAGGAGCTTGGTCGGCTTGGGATCAATCAGCACCTTGCGCGAGTAGAGCTGGACGCCCGGCTCGAGGCGGCCCGAGCCAAACTTGTACTCAAAGTGGGTCTGCGGAAAGTAGAAGAGCGACTTGATGTCGACCGGCACGTCGGTCGAGAACTGCAGGCGGAAAGCCGGCTCGTCGTACGCACCCGCGATGAACTGGTAGAACTCGGTGTGCTGCTCGTCGGTCACCTTGGACTTGGGGAGCGCCCACAGCGGCTCGATGACGTTGACTCGGTCGCCGTCGACCTCGATGGGGAACGAGACAAAGTTGGAGAACTGCTTGATGATCTCCTTGATCCGGAAGCTCGAGGCAAACTCGTGCGAGTCGGCGTTGAGGTGGATGGTGATGGCGGTGCCGACCGGTGCGTCGGGCGCCTCAGTCACCGTGTACGTGCCCGACCCGTCCGAGCTCCACCGGTACCCGGTCTCGGCGCCGGCCTTGCGCGTTGTCACGCTCACGTGGTCGCCCACAATAAACGCCGAGTAAAAGCCGACACCAAACCGGCCGATGACGTTGGACTTGGCGTCGCCGGCCGCGCCCTGCCCGGCCGTCGCCATCTCGTCCACGAACGCTGCAGTTCCCGACCGGGCAATGGTCCCGAGGTTCTCCACCAGCTCGTCCTTGGTCATGCCAATGCCCGAGTCGGAAACCGTCAGCGTCTTGGCGTCCTCATCGATGGCGATGGAGATCTTGAGCTCGCGATCGACGTCAACGCCGTCGCTCACCTGCGCATACCGCATCTTCTCCAGCGCATCCGACGCGTTCGAGACCAGCTCACGCACAAAGACCTTCTTGTCCGAGTACAGTGACTTGGCCACAATGTCTAGCAGCTTGCGGGTCTCGGCCTGGAACTCGTGCGTCTCCTCCTCCTGCGCATCGAGCGCTCCAGCCACCGATCCAAACTCGCGGGCAGCGCTGCCTGCTCCACCAGCACCTGCTCCAGACCACCGGCTGGCCATCATCGCCACGCTAGGAACTGCCAGACCCGTCACTGCCGCCACACCTGCCATCCGCACAGCACTCTGCGCGCCAGCCGTCCGAGCCAAGCTCGTCGAGGCCACACGCGCCCGCCGAGCTGTCCACCAGCCGAGCCAGCCGAGCCGCTCGAGGCAGAGCGACGAGCACCATGGATAAGCCGAGACGAGGCCCGGGCGAGGAACCGGGTAGCCATGCGGGAAGCAGCCTGGGTAAACATGCTTGTTTCGAGCCTGACGAAAAGTATGCTTCTCTATCCCCTCCCTCGCCTTACCTTGCCTGACGCCACCAGTGACCGCCTCACTCCGCCAGCCGGGATGGGATCGCCCCATGTCGCGTTGAGCCGACTGCGCGACCTTCGCGAAAAACGTCACTGAAGGCTGGGGCGCGCGACGGGGAAGGCCACGAGCGGGCTCATCGTGGGTGCAATGCTACATGAGAGCAAGTTCAATGACAGTGGAAAGGGAAAGACACGCTTACGCGGTATCGGCGTCGTTGTCGTTGCGGATGGCGGCGACGCGGGAGTTTGAGGCCGCGGTGTGGAGTCGCGGAGGGGAGGCGGCGGCTTCTCGAGGCAGCGAGAGGGCTGCGGCAGACTCAGCGCGCCCGAGAGCGGCAATCGATGAGTTAGGACGGCTGCTGGGGCGGCGCGATGAGGAACGGCGGGAAGAGAGTACACCGCGGCCAGGCGACCTGGACGACCGCAGTGAGCCGCTCATCGACATATTACGCCGCAGCGACGGTGACGAGGTGTTGAGGTCGCGGGAGAGCGCCGGGCGCGCAATCACAGTCGAGGACCGCGCCCGAGACAAACTGGTCGTTGAGCGAATGCGCGAAAGCGCCGAGAGCGCCCGCGATGCAGGGCGACGCGCCGAGGGGGAAGCAGCAGATCCAGGCTTGATGTTGCGCGAGGCGGGACGCTCCGTCGAGCGAGACGAAGACGACGAGAGGCGCGAGGAATCGTCCTCACCGTCCGACGCCTCTCCGTCCGACGCCTTGACGTCGGACGTGGGCATCAGGAGCGATGCAGCAGTGGCAAGCCGTTGCAGCGGCGAGACAACAGCTTTTCGTGAGCCTGCTCGCGAGCGCGAAGACGCCGACAGCGCCCGCGTGCGGATAGCTGCACGGGCCGACCGTGCCCGCCGTGAGCCGAGACGCTCTCGGAGAGCAGCAACTCGGGCTTTGGTCGACGTGGGGTCGATCTCGCTCTCGTCCGGGTTGGTCATTTGGGCCCAGTCACCCGACCACACGGCGTCCGCCGCAGCCGACTTGGCCTGCTCGGCGAGCTTGGCCGACACAACCGCGTTGATGTCAAACGACGGCAGCGAGTCGGTGGAGACAAGCGTTGTCTGCGACGTTGTGCGGTGCAGGTTGGGCTGGGAATCGAGGTCTGCTGCAACGAGCTCGACGCCGCGGAGATCGGCAGCGGTGAACCCGCGCCCGGCGAGGCTCTTGGGCACTGCAGAGTACAGCTCCACATCAAACGACGTCCCAGTCTCCATCACATGCCGGAACACGCCCATCCGCTCGAGCGAAGCGCCGAGCTCACTGGCAGTGACAACATCAATGCGGCGGACAGCGTCGCCAGAGACCACAATCTGGCCTCCGCCACCGCAGTCGCCCACCACCTGCGCCACGTTCATCGCCCCACCAAAGTACTCGTACCGCTGCGTTCGCTCCGAGAAGCTCCGCGACGGCTCGCACCAGTGGATTCCGATCCGTACACGCAGCCCACGGAAGAGCAGCTCGCCGGTGGCTTCGTCCTCCACAACAGGCACCTTTCTGTCCTGCAGCACGTCCGCCGGCCACTCGAGATCGAGCAGCTTGGTCTGCAACTCGATCGCCGTCCGCACCGCCTCGGCTGCGGTGTGGAAGGCGACCACAAACGAGTCGCCCTCGGTCCGCACCTCGTACCCGCGGTGCTTGTCAAGCAGCTCCCGGAAGAGCTTGTTGTGTATGTCAATGGCGATCTCCATTGACTCGGAGTAGTGCTCCCACAGATGCGTCGAAGCCTGCACGTCCGAAATGAACATGGCGATCGCGCCTTTCGGCGCCTCCTCGGCTGCAGCCGCCATCTTCTCGGCCACATACACCTTGGCAGCCCGCTTGCGACGGACAATGAGGAGGAAGGCCACACCTGCAACAATGCAGACCATGAACGACGCCGTCGAGCCAGCAACAATCGGCAGCATGCGTGACGGCGACGCCACAGACGCGCCAGCACCTTGGCCGAGACACTCGCTCAAGCCGCCGCACACGCCGCACTCATCGACGACCAAACCCGAATTGGGGACGCCGTCGCAGCCGGCGCAGCTGCTCGAGTTGCCGTAGCACACGCCGCACACATCCTGATGCCGATCGGTGCCAAAGCACACTCCGCACGAGTCCAGCGCCTCGTTCTCGCCGCGGCACACTCCGCACGAGTCGCGGAGCAGGTTGTTGCCAAAGCACATGCCACAGCCATCGACATTACGGTTACCGCCGAAGCAAACTCCACACGAGTCGAGCATGGCGTTCGGCGCCACCGTCGTTGTTCCGCCCGTGCAAAAGCCACAGTCGTCGATGATCGCGCTGCCTCCGCACACACCGGCACAGTCGAATGTTGCAGTCAGCGAGATCTTGACATCACACGAGAGCGCACATGACGAATTGTCGCCGCCACACACGCCGCACGCGTCGACAACCAATCCACCGGGAAGACCGTCACAGCCGAGACAGCTTGATCCGTCACCGTTGCACACGCCACACACGTCAATGGAGTCTGGCCCGCAACCCTCGCACCGCTCGAAGCACTTGTCACATGCATCAAGATGCATCTTGGGCACCAGGCCGGTCGTACCACCCACGCACACGCCGCAATCATCGATAAATGCGGTCCCGTTGCACACGCCAGCACAGTCAAAAACAGAAATGGCTCCGGTCGAGTTGTCGCACGAAGCGACGCAGATGTCCACGGCAGAGCCGCCGCACTTGCCGCAAGCATCAAAGTAAGCGCCACCGAGTGGGATGGGCACGCCATCACAGCCAAGACAGGTATCGGACGAGCCACCGCAGACGCCGCACACATCAAAAACCTCGCCCGAGTAAGGCACACCATCACATCCGGCGCAGGTCGAGTTGTCGCCCCAGGGCACGCCGCAAGCGTCAACACACGCGTTGTCCCCGTGACACACACCACAAGCGTCCATGTCGGCATCGTTCCCGTGGCAGACGCCACAGGCGTCCATGTCGGCGTTGAAAGCGCGATCGGGCCCAAAGCAAGCGCCGCAGGTATCGAACGGTTGCCCGTTGAGACAAGGTGGCGGAGGAGGTGGCGACGGCGGAGGAGGAGGAGGAGAGGGTGGCGGCGGTGGCGGGGAAGGTGGCGGCGGCGGCGGTGACGGCGGTGGCGGCGGCGATGGCGGCGGCGGGGGGGGAGAAGGAGGTGGTGGAGGCGGCGGCGGGGAAGGCGGCGGAGGTGGCGGCGACGGTGGTGGTGGCGACGGAGGGGGGGACGGCGGCGGCGATGGTGGCGGCGGCGATGGCAGCGGCGACGGCGGCGGCGACGGTGGCGGTGGTGGCGATGGGGGCGGCGGTGGTGATGGGGGCGGCGGCGGTGACGGTGGAGGAGGTGATGGCGGCGGCGGCGATGGTGGCG